TATATAGTATAATCGTTCCATATTCCTCTGCAGGACATGAAAAATACGATGCTAGTGATAATGCAGCGCATTTGATAGTTTGGAAAGTCGATACGTAAGCTTTGCTTTTAATTTTGATTTTGAGTTTAAAACGTTTTTGATTTGCGCCGTTTACGTAATTATTCTTTTTGTTGTTTTAATAATACTTTTAATTTCTCTTTTTGCTTAGTTTTGCATTGTTGTTGTGTCTATTTGTTGACTTAATTGCATTTTCTTTTTGTTTAACCTTTGCCGTGGCCGTGTAGTACCTTCAATTTGTAGTGCTCCGAACAGCGACGAGCCCATAGGCCGACAATCTAATTGGAATGCAGCATTTTTCTAAAGGTTTATCCAAATATTTTTGATTTATTTCTATTTATCACGTTTTACAACCTCCAACAAATTTGTCCCTGCACTTTTTTGTCACAATGTTCCAATGAAATCCACAACCCGAATTCAAATATGTGGATTAATCTGTAAACTGTTCTCTATGGTGTCCTTGTGAATTGTCCCTCTGAAATGCTATATAAATTATATAAGAGCAGCAATTGTTTTTAAAAATAACAACGAAACAAAAGATATCCCTGATACAGGATAAAAAATTTCTATTTTGTATATACGATTTTTATCTAACTTTTAGTTGCGGTTCTTAAACTTTCGGTTGTAGTTTGCTGATTTAATTTATTTAATGCCTTTTAATATTTATTGTACATTTTATTTGCTTAATATTTGTAATTAAACTTATAGTTTTTTATATACTTTTTTATTTCATTTTGCTTCAATTTAAAAAGTTTTGGCTTTTTTACAAACTACCAAACAAAACGCGCACTCTCACTAAAACATTATTATAAAGATGAAAATAATTACTAATCAAAAACCAAATAATATATGAAATCAAATGATATTAATGCTGCATAGTAGTTCAATACTTTTCAACGCTTTTGTAAACTATCTAAAAACAATTAAAAATCTCTTGTAGTTCTGTCGCAGCAGCACTAACTAAGTGTACATTGTGTATATATATATATTCCTGATTTGCTAATTGTTGATTCTTTAACTCTTGCAGATGATAATGACATGGAAAACAGTATTCAACTGGAACCAAATCAAACAATCGAAAATCGTGGCGATAAAAGCTATTTGATTGTGTGGCATGTTAATCAGCGTTAAAACTAAATTGATTTAAGTAAATTACAAGTTATGCGTATATATAATATATATATACAAATCCGACCCAAGCAGTTACAAGTTTTTGCAGGCTAGAAAAAAAAACAGATATCTTTACCTTAATTTAGTTTTTAAAGCTCCCAGCTTATTTACAGTACAATGCGTCAGAGCATTGCCAAGAGCATAAGATAGATATATATAAATATATATAATTGGATAACAACCGATTTTGGTTAGGCAAACAGACTTGTGCTAATACTTATGCTTCACATTACTAGCTTCATACTTAAATATTAATATTTATAAAAAAAAAAAAAAATAAATAAAATAATTAACCTAAATGTTATTTAACACAGTGATAGCTCGCTATATAACTCAATGATATATAAATTCAAATTTGTACATTTTATGCGCTCTTGAAACAGAGAAAGTTATGTTTTTTACATATATATATACATATATTCAATAGAAATGTCCAAATAACTTAAACAAAACTAAAGATCCCGTTTAAAGCAATTTGTGCGTGATTTGTTTATCCAAATAATTAGTTAAATTCGTATTTTAAGTTCAAAGTTTCAAAAAGCAATTTCTAATTTAGTTATTTGTTAAATAATTTTTAATTTTTAGTAGTTGTTATTAATTTGTTTAATATTACGTAATAAACGAAAACAAGACCAACGTTTCGAATATTTTTTTTCCATTTTTATTCTTAGAGGCAAAAAGTGATATTTATAATTTAGAAATTTTGGAATGCTTTAGGCACGGATTTTAATATGGCATAACAAGGCGAACTTACGCATTAGCTTTGGCTTGAATCGAGCAACTATATAATGGATAAATACACATATACATATATATAACACCAGATTATGTACTGTAAATAAAGCCACAATTTATAAAATATAGCAAATTATGTGAAATAAATTATGGATAACAATTGATGATTTATTGGATTGGTTGGCTATCTAGAACTATGTACAGGACTGGACTATTGCGCAGCTTTGGAAGTTAGCTGACTGAACATGATATGTATTAGTTCATCAATTGATTTACATAGATCTGTTGAACCTCTTA